ACATTGAACGCCGTAAGCGTAATCCTAAATTCTGGTGGGCGTTGCTTAAGACTTTTGGCCTACAGTTTATAATCCCGGTCACTATTTTTGGCACCGGGGTAAGAAATTGATATTTAAAAAAGTATAATCCAAATTAAGCAAGAAGATATAAATTTAATTTAATTAGAAACAAGGATCACACCGGGGTAGCCGAACGATTCTATAAACCTCATTATTCATGGCTAAATTGTGGTTAATAATAAATTAATTTTTTTAAATTCTACCATACAGGAATGTATAGTACGAATTGGTCAACCCCTACTTCTGGGCTTTGTGCTTGACTATTTCAGAGGAGCCAACCACATGAGCTATCAACATGCCTGTATGGCTGCGGGTGGTATTGTAGTTTGCTCAGCCCTGTACATCACACTACACCACCCGTGCCTAATGCGTAACCTACAGGTGGGCATGAGATTGCGTAACGCGTGCACTACTCTCATGTACCAAAAGGTATGAGCGCTTATTTAATAATTAATCGTTAAAAGTACATAGGTCATTTTAATTATTTTTAAAAAATTTATGTGTTGTTTGGTAATGATCTTTGTCACAAACCAATGTGATCTTTATGCTAAATACATGTATTGTGAATTAATAAGCCTATTAGATTAATTTATATGTCATATTAAGTGCAATATGTTGTACAAAAACAGGCAACTTGTCAATGAAAATATAGTACAGTATTACTAACACTGTATTACATTAATATATTTATAGTTACTTCCATAATAAAAACATTATTGCAAATACAACTAATTAATTATTTACCATATTTTAAAATGAAAGTGTTTAAAACTGAGCCAATCATCGCTGGCAAAGACCACTGTCGGCCAAATAATCAATATTATGTCCAACGATGTCAACCGGTTTGATGAGGTTAGTCAATACCAAACATGGTGAATATAAGATATATTTTGGGAATAAAGTATTTGCTACATGTTTACTTTTGATTATAGTTTGCAATTTCAATGACATGCGTGATTGTGGGGCCCATACAAGCCGTACTAGTTATTTATATAACATGGACATTTTGTTTGGGTATTTCAACGGTGGTGGGACTGGGCCTGTTTGTGCTATACATACCATTTCAGTTGATCATGGGTAAACTATTTTCGCGCTTCAGGTAATGTTAGAAATAATAATAAACAGGGTCAGGAAATTAAATCAATATCTAATTGTATCTAGACAACAAACAGCAAAATTAACAGATGCCCGATTACGGCTAATGAATGAGATTATTTCTGGTATGAGAGTGATCAAGATGTACACATGGGAGCAGTCATTTTCGGACTTTGTGACCAAAGCTAGAAAGTAAATATAAAGTTTTACATTTAAAAAATACCTTTAACATCTAAACATAATTATTTCAATAATTATATTGATAAATATTTGATTAATCTAGGTTGGAAGTGAATGACATACGCAAAGTGTGTTACTTAAAAGCGGTCAATTTGTCACTATTCCTGATCGCCACCAAGATTATATTATTTTTCTGTTTCCTGACGTATGTACTATTAGGTCACGTTCTCAGCTCCAAGAGTGTGTTTGTCACAATGGCACTGTTCAATATGCTACGAATCACATTAACCTGGATATTTCCCCAGGGTATAGCCCAGGGGGCTGAGCTCTTGGTCACTTGTCGTAGAATACAAGTGATTTATTTAACTAAATTAATAAAGTTTAATTGTGAGTTGCAATAATTTCTTTAATACTTTAATATTTTTAGGATTTTCTCGAGCTTGATGAAAAAGAGCCTGTGCCTACAGACCCTGTCAACAGTGAAAATAAACATAAAAAATTAAATCAATATATGAATGGTGGTAAAAATGGTTACAATAATAGCCCAGTACTTGATGACATTAATAATAACTATACAGGGCCAATTAATGTTGATGTAAATGATATTACGGCTAAATGGAACCAGGCATGTTTAATTAAATGAATAAATAAATATAAATATTTTCTACTTTCTTTAATTAGGATATTAAGAAGCCGACATTAGATAATATCTCTCTACACCTAAAACCTGGTGATTTGTTAGTGGTAATTGGTCCTGTTGGGTCAGGCAAAGTAAGTACACTGCTGCTTTTATTAGCGTATTTAGTGTTACATGATTTAATACTAATTAATTAAATAAACTAGAGCTCACTGTTAATGGCACTGCTCAGGGAACTGGAGCTATTGAGTGGGTCTATTCATATCAACGGCACAGTTAGCTATTCAGCTCAAGAGCCGTGGAGTTTCAACAATAGTGTCCGAAATAACATATTGTTTGGCCGCGAGTACGACGAGCGCCGGTATAAAGATGTGGTACGAGTGGCGGCACTCGAGCGGGACTTAAAGATATTCCCGTTCGGCGATCGGACACTAGTGGGCGAAAAGGGTGTATCACTCAGTGGTGGTCAAAAAGCGAGAATAACGTTAGCAAGGTATGACAAATTAATTTATTTTTAAAATAACTATTGTCAATTAAAATACAATATGATTGTAATTACAATATGTTTGCGCACAGATCTCTGTACAGAAACGCCGACATATGCCTTATGGACGACCCGTTATCGGCTGTGGACGCGGCCGTTGCCGAACATATATTTGAACAGTAAGTCCCCATTGATTATGATTTATTTGTTCCAACACTTTATCAAGTTTTTACTGAAAGATATGTATAATTTACAAAAACTAGTAGTAATTAGAAGACAACTGTAATAATGTTATAAAAAGCATTATAATATTGTCTCAATATTATCTCAATAATTTAATGTTTTTATTAGTGGATGGACTAATGTGGTAAATTGAGTAAGCCCGTGACGTCCGGGCCCTGGCCCTTTAGTCGTTGCTCAAACTTTTATTAAAAATTATTGTAAATTGTCATTATCTGAGCAGCAAATGTGATAATGTAAGCAGTAATGTGAGCTGTAATGAATACTGCATTAATTATAAAAGATATATAAAAACAAACTGTAACACAAACATTATTCATGAAATATGTTATAGCAATCATTAATATAAAAATAGCTATGGGACATAGGAAAAGTAGATGATTTAATACCTTATACCTTTTATCATTATTATGTAATCACATTATAGTATTTTAATAATAATAATTATTGTGCTAATAATCACATACTGTATTGTATGTACACTTTGTCAGGTGTATAGTGGACTACTTGGGGCCCAAAATCCGAATACTAGTCACACATCAAATCCAATTCATACGAAAGGCTACGAAAATCCTTGTGTTAGACGACGGAAAGTGTTTAGCTTTGGGAACGTTTGACGAACTGTTGGCCAAAGGGTTAGACTTTATGGCACTCATCGACGGCGACGACGACGACGAGGACGCGGACGCAGTGGTGGCCGAAATCGAGGGCTTGAGTGCACACACGATGTTAGCGCCCACTAAATCACAACAATCGGTCAGCTCTGTCCGCAGTAGGCGTAGTGTACGGCGCCTACTAAGCCATACCATTATGGTAAGTGAATTATACAACTCATACACTCACCTCATTTTTTCATATATGATTATTTTGTTTTGTTATACCCATAGAAACAAACCTCAGTTATCGGGACCCAAGAGGAGGAGGAGGCGCCCCAAATACAGGACGAGCAACAAATAGTGGGCTCAATCGGGGGTCGGGTGTACTGGGAGTACATCAGAGCCGGCTGTGGTATAATACTGGGCACACTTACAATACTGTCCACTTGTATATCGCAGATTCTATTTCACGCGTCGGATCTATGGCTAATGCAATGGTAATTAATATAACAATTTAAATGATTTATATTATTAATAATTCATTATTATTATTATTATCATTATTAACCCATAGGACTAACAAAGAGAAAACACAGACTAAGGAGAAAAATAATTTCGCCCTGATCATTTACTCGGTACTAATTGTGGCCCTATTGCTGTCAACAATGGTCCGGTCGATGACATGGTTTGCCATTTGTATGATTGCCTCCAAACGTCTGCACAACACTATATTCATACGGCTATTGAGGGCACCGATGGCTGTGTTTGATAACAATCCCATCGGTATAATAATATTGAATAAAATAATAATCTAGCCCAATTAAACAATGCAATATTGTTCCCGATATTGTTTCAGGCCGTATACTAAATCGATTCACGAAGGATCTGGGTATTATTGACGAGATGCTACCATCCACCTCATTCGATTTGAATCTGGTAATTAAATTAAAGCTAGCTTTGCGAATTAAAATTACTAATTATATCAATTATTTTTATTATTATAATACCAGACCGTATCGCAGGCAATAGGCATACTAGTGGTGGTGACTATAATAAACCCCTATCTAATAATACCGGGTGTAATACTATTTGCGCTGACAATAACTGTGCGCTGGCTTTACATTAAAACTGCACGTGATATTAAACGGATGGAGGGGCTCAGTAAGTAATATCATTCATGATAAGAATAAAATAAATTAAAATTTATTAATGATGATAAAAAATAGGATGTGACTTAAATTCCCCGGGGAATTTAAGACACATCCTAAAAAATACTTAATCTTAATTGAATTTTTCTATTATTTTACATACAGCTCGTAGTCCAGTGTATTCACACGTGAGCACCACACTTAACGGGTTGGCCAGTATCAGGGCGTACGGCGCTCAACAGGCATTTCGTAACCAATTTTACACCTACCAAAACGACCATAGTGCCACCTGGTTTGTATTGCTGGGCGCGTCGCGTACGCTGGGACTAATTGCCGATTGGTTGTGTGTCATCTATTTAGCCGTCGTGGCCGCAGTTATAATGGCATTCAAGCATGGTGATTAAAATTATTTACATTATTTAGCGCTATGTTTAAAATACAAGTTAAAACTAATGAGTTTACACATTTATACAATACATTTATAGAAATCTCTAGTGGTCACGCTGGGCTGGCATTTGCATCAGGTACAATTTATTATAATTAATTTCAATAAACCTCAATTAATTATATTTAATTATACGGTACTTTCTAATCATAATGATTATTGTTTCGCATCCCAGCCCTTATGCTGACGGGTCAGACACAGTTCGGTGTGAGACAGTCGGCGGAGTTGGAGAGTCAGATGACTTCAGTCGAGCGCATCATTGAGTACACAAAACTACCGCAAGAGGCAGACCTACTGTCCACTGACCAGAACCGACCCAAACCCAAGTGGCCACAGACCGGGGGTATAGTCTTAGACCACATGTCGCTCATCTACGACAGCGCACCCGACAAACCGGTGCTCAAAGACATCACGTGTGAGATAAGGGGCGCCGAGAAGATTGGTATCGTTGGCCGCACGGGTGCGGGCAAGTCGTCCGTCATATCGGCGCTGTTCCGTATGGTTGAGCCCACGGGTCGTATAGTCATTGATGGTGTGGACACCAAAGCCATTGGTTTGCATGACTTGCGTCGAGCGCTGGCAATCATACCTCAGGAACCGGTGGTGTTTTCGGGTACAATGCGCCGCAATTTGGACCCCTTTGGCCAGTACTCGGACCCCGAAATGTGGGCGGCGCTCGACGAGGTGCAGCTCCGGGCGGTTGTGGATGAGCTGCCCGGACGGTTGGACGCCGAGCTCAGCGAAGGGGGCGCTAATTTTAGTGTAGGTCAGCGCCAATTGGTGTGCTTAGCCCGGGCTATACTCCGTCACAATAGGGTACTAGTGCTCGACGAGGCGACCGCTAATGTCGACCACCAAACCGATGCACTCATACAGACGAGTATAAGGACTCATTTTCACGACTGCACTGTACTTACGATAGCCCATAGGCTTAACACTATTATTGATTGCGATAGAGTTATGGTTAGTATTTTTCATTAAATAGTGTGAATTATTACAATAATTTATTAATCATATATTAATTCTTAATGTATTTAACCTAGGTGCTCGACGCCGGGCGACTTCTAGAGTTTGACGCTCCGCACAGTCTACTCGAGAAAAAGGGCTCCTTCTATGACATGTGCCAAAAGACTGGCCCCGATATGTACCACCACTTGGTTGTATCGGCACGCGAGGCATTTGCCAAAAATTTGCCACGCTCATATTTGTAAATTATATATTTTTTATTATTTAGAGAGAGAGAGAGAGAGAGAGAGAGAGAGAGAGAGAGATGTAAACTACATTTTTAAAATACTTTTGAATATAATATACTGTAATATACATATAATAAAACAGTAAATGCAATAATATATTCAATAATAAAAACATTGATTGCAACGAAATATCCAGTTATTAATAGTAAGAATGCATTACTAAACATATCATCTAATGTAATGTCATAATAATTGTTGGAATCAATTTTAATGGTATTTAAAAACAATGTCTGGTTTTTCGGGATATTGATCCGATTAATAATTGTATCTATTAATTTTTCCCGTTCTATTAAACCAGCCATTATTATGCGTTTATACCTGAAATTAGAATGAGTTAAATTAACTGACAAATTTAATTAATATTTTATTTAAAAATTGCAATTTATGCGTTATTTCAATAATTAAATTCACGTAAAATTTATAAAGACTATTTATATCTGGTCATTCTACTTACATGTTAATTAATTTATTGGATAATTTATGTTTTTTCCGAACAATATAAAATACTGTGATTCGAAGGTATTTATAATCACTAATAGAATATAAATGTCTGTAATTATGATATTTTCTATTAAATAATTCCAATATATAACTGTTGGTCAAAGCGGCGGCATTACCATAAGCAATGTCCTCAAATATATTCACATCATTTATTAAATCTTTAAACTTTAGTGATTTATTTAATTTTATTTCATAATTTTTATGTTTATCCAATGTTTGAGTAATTGTATTTTTGTCAATTGATTTATTTATAACTAGATTTAATTCATACGCGTTGACCAATACATACAAATCTTGCTTGTTCACAATGTCATTCAATGTATTTACTATTGGAACATATTTAATGTTAAAGTATACATCTAATACAGCATTGCAAAATGTAATGCTCAATATTAAGCCATTTAAGACAGATATGAAATATATATAAAAATATTTAACTTTCAGCGCATTTGATGCAATTTTAAATAGATTTAACGATTGTTTGGTCAGTATTCTAATCATTTCAAATATTATATCCATGAATGACAGATTATTCGTTACCATAATTGTGGCCGATATACAAATGGTAAGTAAAATAAGATAAAACCAAACCTATTTTGAAACAGGAATCACACAGCTATATGTTAAAATGTTTAAACACAATTTATGTATTTCTCAAAACAAATTAACATAATGAATTGATATGACTTGCCTAAGGATTAGCATTAGTCTTATAGTATCTATAATAACATTTTTTTATAAACTTAACATTGCATATATGATTAGCATTACCTGTATTAACACTATGTCATAGACTTAACATTACCCATAAAAAATGAATTGCCATAGACTTGGCATTACATATGTTATACCAATGTTATCCATGTTAACTTTATGCTATAAACTTAAACTGTATTTCAGGATAAATGTCAAAGTTTGGAGGGGGCATGGGGAGAGGAGGGACAGCCTAGCACTTCTATAAACCACATAGATAAATTGTGGTTAAAAATTTAAATGACAATTTGGTCAATGTGGTAACAAAGTAATCCAATAAACTATAATTTTTAAAATGTGTATAGTTAAAAACTTAGTTAATGCTTTGTTCACAAAATAAATATTAAAACATATGGTATTGAATCATACCTCGTGGGAAAAAATCTCAATAAATTTATAAAATGATTTATCACGCGTTGATTTTAATCCACTTATTATTTCAATCACATTGATATCACTGGAAGGAATCGCATCAAAGGTTGTTGTGATTGCTCCAGGAAAAGCCTCCCCGAAAGATACATCTGCCTACAATTAAATTAGAGTTTAATATTTATAAAACTTACAAAAACAAAAACACTTGGATATAAAGATCAATGACCTATTACAATTTATAATGCTATAAATAAGAACATGATATAAGCGACCTTACCTGATTTAAATTGTTTATCACAATTAATACATTTCCGAGTGTGCAGGCTATGTACTTCATGATTGTTAATGTACGGGCAGATGCTCTAGCCTATTTTAAAATACTTTAAATTTTTTAAGAATATGACACAATAATCTTGTTTTAAATTATTCTCATGTATCGTTTAAAATAATAAGGTTCACACAACGATGTTATACTTTAACCACAATTCGGGTATTGCTTAAAGAATAGATTAGCATTACCTATAAATTTAATATTAGTCCTATAATATTTCCCATAGACTTGCATTACGATAGACTTAGAACTGCCAATAGGATTAGCATTAGAATAGACTTAGCTTTGTATTTTAAGCAGAGTAAAAATTGTATTTTAAAATTTTACTTGTTAAATTATTGTTAAATAAAAATCATTTATAAAATTTTTCATTGTTATTTCACATTGTTTGTATTTTGAAAATTATTTAAAGTTTTTGTTGATATTTATTCGGTTTTAATAATTATTTTCTTTGTTATTAATTCTATATTGTAATAGAAATCCATTATAAAGCATTAGTTCTATTGACATAGTATTGTCCATATGATCAGCATTAATCCCATAGAAATAACATCACACATAGACTTAACATTACCATACAATTAGCATTATCTATGTTAATCCTATGTCATAGACTTTCCTCGTGTATAAGTATAGCCATAGACTTAAGCTGTAATCCCATGTTAAATCCCATAGAAAGGAATGCTGGGAAGGGGTACCAAACGACATTATTAATAGCTGAATTTTGGGTAAAAATATCCTTTCCATCCCATTTAAAATTGGATTACTGTTTAAGGTTAAACATAGGTTTAACGTTGGTAATGCTAATCCTATGGGCAATGTTAAGTTAATAGACAATCTTATTACTAGAGGACTAATGCTAATCCTATGGCAAGTCTATTAGATTTATATTTAATCAGTAGATAATGCTAATCTATTCTTTTGAGCATTACCGGAATTGTGGTTAACTTATAGCATGCATGTGTGATTCTCTTTTCATTTTTGAACTTTTTATTTCCAATATGAGTAATTCAGAATAACCATCGTTTAATATCAAAATTCATATACAGTATACCCAGAGATACAATAAACTTACTTAAACAGTTACCTGCAATACACGCGTTATGTTAAATTACAGTTGACGCTCAGTATATAACTAATAAGATTTATCTCATATGGAGTGTAAAGTTTATTAACTGTAAGAAACTTTATGATTATGTGTTTAATGTTTTTTGTTTGTTTTATCTTTTAATCATAAATAACTAATTGTTTTACCAAATATTTTTTATTGATTATTAGAGCTGTAAATGATATTTTTAATGTAAATCTTTATATTGCAGTGTAACGTCATCTATGTGCTCTCATTAAAAAGCATACACAACACTCGGTGAAGACATTGCAATTATACTTTAATATATCTTTTTCCACCAAAGTTTCACTTTTTTACAGCCGTATTGATTATATACTGAGCGTTAACTCTATTTTAAAATAACGCGTGTATTGCAGGCAACTGTCTAAGTGCGTTTATTGGATCTCTGAGTATATTTTACACAGCAGTAAAAAATCAAAATGTAAATTATCTAGATGATAAAATAAACATAAGCTCCCTCTCTTATTGTATTACATTATAATGTTTATTTAGTCATCTAGATAATTTACATTTTGATTTTTTACTGATGTGTTATAATATGTTTCTGTATATTTACCCATCCAAATATCTTGATTCCATTGCTAAATTGTGAAATGTTCTCACCATTATTAGCGCAATAGTAAACATTATTTTTTAATATATTTAAATAAGGTATTACATTATATAAATGATTTGTTACATTATTTATATCTATCATTTTTTGATTTTGAAAAATATGAACTTTATAAATAAATTTTAAATTTATTGCAATAACGTTACTCTAGGTAGGCCAAATTAAGTTTACTAAAATATTATTTTAATATATTTATTGTAATGTAATGAAATCAAAAATTATTCACGTTTTAATTCACTTTTAAGTAAAGCACTTTTTACAGTAATTATTATTTTTTCAATAAATGAAATACTGAATTAGTCAAATTAAAATTGGTGACAGATTAGATAAGCACACAGATTTTTGTGTATTTGTGTATGAAATTTAAATGAAGTTACATACAATTAAGAATACAAGTTTTATTTTTAACGTATTAATTTAGAGAAACAAAATAAAATTAAGTTCAATCATGTATTTCTATGAAAAAGTGTTCAATAATAAGTTCCATGAAAAACAATTAACATATATTAGACTTAATTTCATTTCTTTTGAATTCATATAATATAAATGATTTTTTTATCAATAATTGAAAAAGTGATATTGACATAGAAGGAATATTTTGTAAATAATATAATTATTTCATTTCCTATTATTTCTAGATATAAATTACATATGTATTATAAACTGTCAATTTAATGAAATTATTTAATTTGTCATTTCATTTTTAATTATTGTATGTTTACATACAAACTATAGTCACAGTCTTAAGATATAATTTCAGAGAAACTAATGTTCTGTGTATTCAAGAAAATTCTATTATACCATTGTAAAAATATATTTGGATATAACAACAAAAGCGTTGTTATTTATAAAGTTGTATATTAGAAATAATAATGTAAACATAACGACCAAAATTATTCCAATTTAATACACAATACATAAGTTATACTGCGCAAATGTAATGGACAATATTAATTTTATATAATAAATTAAGTTATCAACTTATTATGCAATATTGACATACATGTATGTCTTTTATTTGATTTGTTGTAAAATAATTAAATTTTTGTAATAGTAGAAAATATTTAATAAATTAGAAATGTGAAATTATAAAATTTTTCTATTGTTTCTTTTCTGTTTATTGTAATGGATTGTCCATTTTCGAGCTACCTTATCCATTTTTATTACAGTACCAGAAATGAACATTTTTATCAATATAGTTTTATCAATATTTTTAATATTTTACTAATAATTTAGTACTTTACAATATTTAACTAATTAATTAATTATTATTAAAAAGAGGTATGATTATTCCTATGCGGCTATAGAATGATGATCCATATAATATGTGTGTTAAGTTAATTAAATTTGAAATTTTTATAATAATAATCTTTATATTAGTTGTATTTATTATAACAATTACGTGAAAACTAATGAAAGCTCATTAGAATCTGTCAAATCATTTTGAAATATCAATAAATACTTAATTTTTACATAACAATATTTGTCAATTGTTGGTCGATTTTTTCGGACCTTTATTTGATAAAAATCCATTTTTCATGTATAATGATCTGGTAAGTCTACATATACAGTGTGTATAAAAATTGACCTAACAAAAGTAAACTCAAATATTTCGAAAAGTATTTGGTTTAGAAATTCAAATAATATATCAAATTAATTGTCAACTGCGGGCGTTTGTATGTTGATATGGTCAATATGGTTGAACTCTTTTATCGAAGCTAATGTCAAAAAACACAAAATATTGACATTGTCTACATAGACATAATGTTAAATTCAAGCCCTGGCAGGAGTCCGCGCCACGACTATACGACTGGGACTCCATCTATTGGACCGCAAAGGCAAGGCAAAAGCGTCTACACCTCCATAGACTTGTCACACACTCAATAATATACAGTATCTAATTTTAAGTTGAATTTATTATTAATTGATATCACCAATAAGTAAATAAACCTGAACAATTAAACATTGTAAATAAATTAGTAAATTATTTACAGTGTTAAATATTAATTTTCATTAAAATTCAACTCAATTTAAATATAAATAACATATTAAAACTAGTGTTGGGTTAGATAAACATAAAAAAGTTAATTAATTTATTAAATGGTATATTCTTTATTAAGCATATTTTATTAAATATAAATAAGATAAAAAATTACAGAACATAAAAAATTACAATGTTAAACTCAGAAATAATCATTTTAATGTAGTTTCTTTTAGCTATCGTTACCAAGGTCGCCAACAGTTTTCAATTTATCACCATCTTGACCAAATTGCGGGTTAGCTATTATGTTGTAAACAATTATAATTAATAGTTTCAATATTTTTAAAATGTCACTTGTTGATACCTTGTGCAAAATTGATCATGATTATTTGCACCAGGCAAATAACAAACAATAGCAGAGACAAAATATTAACCACATCAAACATATTTTGCTTGAATTGATGTTGGTGGATTTCAAAAACTAATGATTAAAAAAATGTTATTGCCTCTCGAGCCGCAGATGGGGAGTTATTGTTATATAATTTATACTCAAAAAATTTATATATTTAAAAATTTCTGTATTTTTTCAGCTATACTATGATAAACGATGATTCATTTATAAAGTAACATTAATATATGATCGGGGTATTATTTATATATTAATAGTAAACACTAAAGGATAGACTATAATTACTAAAAACGTAACATTTATCATGAGTAATGTATGATAGATTACCAAGTTTAAAAACTAATCACGTCTACCTATTTCAGACATTGGCAATCACTGATTATTAAAGTTATTGTAAATAATGAACAAGTAAGCTTGATAGTAATTTCATTACTTACGGTGTAATCTTGCAATATTAAAAATTAATATAATTTTACAAATAATAACTAGTTTTAGTTAAATTTAAATGTTAACTGCTTGACACCAATTTCTAGGATGAAACAAAAATATATATTTAAATAGTCAATAAAGTTTAAAATTCAAAAATTTACTTTAAAATATGGTTTTGAATTAATTTTAATTTTAAAATATTATTTATTAAACAAGGTGAACACAGCCACAATTTGGGGTTTGCTTAAAAATTAGTTTTGTAATTAGCGTTGCCAAATGGTATTTTGAAAATCCTGTTTAAATGTGAAAAATTTGCCCTAAATTCCTGTATTTTTCTGTATCACAAACTTTAACCACAATTCGGTGATAAATAATGTGGTTTATAGGATCGTTCTATGTACAATATTGAGCATATGGGACTTATGAATGTTAACTCTATGGAATTAGTGCTAAGTAAATGACAATTCTATTGTAATTATATTAAATCTATAGACAATGCTAATTTATTCTTTGACCACCACCCGAATTCAACAATATGCTGAAATAATATATCAAGAGTTGATAAAAACTACTAAATTTACAACTCATTATAGAAATATTTATTCCTGTATTTTTCAATGTACAGGAATTACCCCTTCCTGTATTCTGCAAAAATTCCTTAATTCCTGTATAATACAGGAAATTCCTGTACGTTTGGCAACGCTATTTGTAATATCAACATATTTAATCCTATAAAATTTGCATTATCCATAGATTTAGCATTGACATATGCTTAGCACTACCAAACTTAACCCTGTGTTACCCATGTTAAATTGATGTTATAGATTTACGCTGTTATATCATAGAAATCTATAATAAATGGTCCCATGTTAAACCTATCAAAGCTACTTCGTGTTAAAGTATATTCATAGAATTAACATGGAATCTCATGTTATACCTTATAGTGTGGGGGTTAATGAGGCGGTGACATAATGATCCTATAAACAACATTCTTCATAAATGAATTGTGGTTATTACACGCATGGAATTACTTATAAAAGTACAAATTTTTTTAATAGCGAACAAATTTTAAATTATTAAATTAATAAATAAAAAGTTAAATGTATTTTATAAAAAACGATGACCGTTTTCAATAGGGTCTGTAATCATATGCTGGTCTGATTGCTATTGTTATATACAATAAAAGAAAAATCACATTAAAAATGTTGATATGTATTTTCATCATACACTTAACATTGTCCCATTAAATTAACATTATTCTTATATTTATTGTTTAATTTAGTTATACCTCAGTAGTGATCCCTCTTTACAACCTTCTTTTTTATTCACTATACAATTCCAGATTTTTATATCTATTTCTTTCAAAATTATTTGTAATTATATATTTCCTGCATTTTTTTATAAATCATATTTCTAAATTAAAATTAATTTAATATCATACGATGTTTTAAAGTAAATTTTAATTTTAAAATTAATTAATTTTACAATTACACATGTGTTCTCTATTACATTTAAAATTATGTGTAATTTCATAATAACTTATATATTTTATATGGTAACATTTTATTTTTAATACATTTTTAATTTATCTCATTTATTATAAAATAAATTAATACATTAACAATAAAAACCTTTAAAATAAAACATCATACACTATTTAAATGTAGATCATATCTGTATAAATAAATATATAAATATTAATAAAATAAGCTAAATACTTAAAAAAGACTCACAAAATAAATAAACCAAACTAACCCTAACGACCCAAATAAAACCCTTTATTAGCACCAAGCTCATTAGTGATACCTGTCAACACAATCCTAGCCTTAGCTAGAGTTTCATCGCTTTTAATAAAACAAAATCTGACCAAACCTTCGCCCAATTGCTTATTATCCGTACTGTAAAACACAGTCAACGGCACCGCCTGTACGCCCCGTGCGGACAGCCACCGGACAAACTCAAACGTTTTGCCCCTCTTATCGTAATATGCGGTTAAATCCAGTCTATCTATGAGGGCTTGACAGTCAGCCACCATATAATAGCTCCCTTCGGGCATCATTGGCTTCAAACCCATGTCGGTCAACATGTCATACATTAGTGTCCGCTTTTTGCCCATCAGTGCGCACAGTTGTGTCCAATACATACAGTCCACGTGATTGAGCTGGAGTTTATCAAGCTCAATTTCAAACACCCTAGCTGCTGCCTCTTGAATAGGTGTGGGACAACAGTATACGCTGACCACATGGGCCAGTGATAGCGCGTGTCTAATGCCCGGGTGCCCAGTGATGGCCCAACCGCACCGCCAACCGGTCACGTTGAACGCCTTGCCCAGACTGCCGATGGTTACTGTGCGCTCGTACATACCCGGCATCAAGGCTAGTGGTGATTGATTTTTTTGGTAATTGTACAAATGGTTAGTGTTTTTTGTAATGTTAGTGATTTAAATGTGAAAGTGTGTGCGATTTTTACCAAGTCTAAAGTGTTTGTTGTCATCATAAGTGAGCCATTCGTACACCTCATCCATGATAGCGATTGTATCGTATTTTTGACATAATTTCCTAATTCGTGACAATTCTGATGACGTGAATACCTTTTTTTGATAAAAATGTATAACATTTTATTAATTATTAAATTATTTGTTTATATTATTTATTTTATAATTATTTATCAAACAATTTTGATCTTATTGCTCTCTCTCTCTCTCTCTCTCTCTCTCTCTCTCAAGACTGACAAACTATACGGCGATTATGTTTTAGTGTTAGTTATGTTAGGGTTTCTCACTTCTAATTGTCTCTCTCTCCTCACTCTCTCTCTCTCTCTCTCTCTCTCTCTCTCTCAAAGTACACGTAAAGTAAATGTTAGAAACAAGTATTGAATTTTTAAACCAATAATCCAGTGCAACCATAAAATTATTTGCACTGAAAATAAATAACAATCAATTTCTTAAAGTGAATTACATAACAATTGCGAAACAAAACAGTTATTGTAAAAAACAAAATAAAAACAAGTTATTTTCAATAAGTTGATAAAAAATGCACAGGCAAAATCAAATATGGTGATCATAGCAATTGCATACCTTTCCTAATGGATTATGGGGTGTATTAATTATGATAAGCCGGGTATTGTGATTGAACTTGCCTCCAGGTCAGCAAAGTCTAGTTGCCAACCATCAGCACCGGTAATATCATTATTATTTTCATTTCTATAGGTATCGGTACGTTTGAGTGCCGTATGCACGGGTACACCACCAGCAGCCCTAGTAATCGTGGCATAGGCATCGTAGGCCGGATCAATTATAATCACCTCATCACCATGGTTAATTAGGCCGTACAGCGCGCAGTGTATGGCCTGATAGGCGCCCAGCGTTATCAGGATGTTGTCATCTTTCACCTCGTTGTTCAATAGGTGTGAGTATAGTTTGGCCAACACTTTTACTAATCTCGGATGACCCTGTTTGATTCATTTATATAACCAAGTTGTTTATTTATTAGTTTTGGCAAACACGGATTTTAATAAGAATCTAGGATATTTTATCAAGTAATCAGCTATTTATTTGTGGAGCTTTTACTTTTAATGTATTTGTTATTCTCTTTACAGATTTGGTAAACATAAATAAAAATAACTTATTACGGCAAATAAGTTATTTATAATTGCACTTTATATTGCACGTCGGGTGTTAAGTAATTTTTATTACAAGCATTTTATTTCAAATTATAACTTCAACATTTTGTTACAATATAAATATTTAAAACATGATTAATATACTTATGATATATAATATATACTTACTCTGCTTTTGTAAATTATTAAATCAATACTATTTACTAACTTATGCAATCAATACTTTAATTTTTATCACTATAATTTATATTGCTTAAATGCTACTGACTTTGAAATGAACTTTTATATAATTTTAACTTGTTTAAATAATAGAAAAATATACAAAAAGCAAAATATAGTAAATGTATCATGCTTACCGAACTCTTTGTGTATTGATGTAGCGAATAGTGGCCATCGACTAACACATCACACATGGCGTCCATAATAGACTGGGGCTGTGCATTAAAGTCCGGCATTCCCATACCTAGATTAATTGCTTTATTCACTTCGGCCATGTGCACGATGTCGGCCCTAAGAAAATAATTAAGTTATTATTATTTTTAAAAATCTAGTTAAAATATTTTTCAAATACAATACCAAAATCTTGTGTCGAGTCCAGCGTAACGATCGGCGGGTTTGACTACGTTTGACATTATTGTACTTAGGTAAGTTATAATTTACCTTAATTATATTTTTACAAGTAAAACATTTACACCGAGTTGTCTGTGCATTAATTTAACTTCTTTTGACAAAATTAGTTATTTTTATAACAATTTTTGTTGCTTTGTATACAAAATAAAAACGGTAGTTAATAGCTTATAAATTAGTAGCCGAGATGCCCTTGATGATTTAGATAATATAAATATATCAATTATTCTTTCAATATTAACTTAACATGTACAATTTTACCAAGTCATCATGATTAAATTGTTGGCAACATTATCCTGGCCATAAAATAGAATTGTGATGAAATAATTTGCAATCAATAATAATGTAAATCAATTCATCTTTTAATAACAGGATATTTCCCACGATTTTCGCAACAATTAATAGCAATAATTATTATTAATATAAAATCATATCTACCAATGCACAATGTCTAGGATAAATTAATATTTGCTTGTTTCCAGTGTCACACAAATGTGGCCACATAATTAACACCTATCACCTATTAGTATTTAATGTAAAGGATATTAAATATTATTAGAAAGTTGTTTATACAAACAATTAATTATTTATTTTTACATATAATTTAATTGCTTATAAATTGAAATCTTATATAACAGAAAAATTTTATTGTATTTAATATTACATTTCATTAGTATTTATTTATTATTAATAAACATTTATTTACAAAATAATTGTATATCCCATAAAAATATATACTTAATGAAATCCATAATAATAAGTGATATTAATTTTAATTGTAAGTTGTAACTTAATGTTACGATATAATTTATTTAATTGTTAGTTGTATTCATTCATTTTATTTTAAACGTTGTGTTAATAAATACTTAACGTTAATATCCAGTAATAACTTGCATAACAAGAGTCACCAATGGAAGAGTCATTTAATGTGTAGATTAACTATTAATTATAAATTAATAAAATAATAACAGTATATAATACTAAACTAATGCTCAAACCTGACAAAAATAAGTTGTTATAGTCATTATTTTGCGCAAAATTGTAATGATTTACCCAAAAAGCATAGCAAAAGCATAATTTTGGTGACTCTATAAATAACAATGGAAGTGGATAGTAAAATAACTAAAAAATCTAGATGGGATTCAATAAACTTTTTACAGAAATTATTTTTAACGTAAGTTACATTTTTTAAACAAAATATTTACATTTAAGTTAATTCTTAAAAATTTATTTAAAAAGTATATTTAGTTTTAAATAGTATTAAAATAAATAGTATAAACATAACTAACAATTTATAAAATCTTAATTTGTAAACAAATATAATTCCCCTAATTGTCGGTTCAGTTGGGTTTACCCTCTATTCTGGAAGGGATGGCGAACAGAGAGTCTATCGTACGAACACTTAAGCCGATGCTCTAAAAATGATGAGGCCCTAGTAGTGGTTCAACAATTGGAAAGGTCATTTTCATTTACTTTATATTTACTTTATATACTGTTATTAAATTTAAACCATGGTAAATTAAAACATTACAGAAATTGGGACATTGAACGCCGTAAGCGTAAACCTAAATTCTGGTGGGCGTTGCTTAAAACTTTTGGCTTACAGTTTATAATCCCGGTCACTATTTTTGGAATCGGGGTTAGAAATTGAGATTATTAAAAAATTATATAACAAATAAATCAAAAAGATTTAAAATAAATTTAATTACTAAAAATAAGTTTATTATTTAAATTCTACCATACAGGAATGTATAGTACGAATTGGTCAGCCCCTACTTTTGGGGTTTGTGATTGACTATTTCAGAGGAGCCAACTATCTGAGCTACCAACATGCCTGTATGGCTGCGGGTGGTATAGTAGTTTGTTCAGCCCTGTACATCACACTACACCACCCGTGCCTAATGCGTAACCTACAGGTGGGCATGAGATTGCGTAACGCGTGCACTACTCTCATGTATCAAAAGGTACTTGCCTAATAACTAGCCATTTAAAGTACATAGGTCAATTTATATAACATTGATTATAAATTAATATTAATTATAATATTTTTAATAATGGTTTCTGTCACAAACCAATGTGAAATGCTATAAACTTTAGGATAAATTATTCTAGAAACATTGCGAATTAATGAAACAATAAGATTAATTTATATGTCTTTTTAAGTGTAATATATTGTACAATACTAGGTAAATTGTTAATGAAAATACAGAACAGTATTAGTAATACTGTATTACTTTAATATATTTATATTAACTTCCATAATAAAAACATTTGCTTATTGCAAATACAACTAATTAAATATTTACCATATTTTAAAATGAAAGTGTCTAAAACTGAGCCAATCATCGCTGGCGAAGACAACTGTCGGCCAAATAATCAATATTATGTCCAACGATGTCAACCGATTTGATGAGGTTAGTCAATACCAAACATGGTGAATATAAGAAATATTTTGGGAATCAAGTATTTGCTACATGTTTAATTTTGATTATAGTTTGCAATTTCAATGACATGCGTGATTGTGGGGCCCATACAAGCCGTACTAGTTATTTATCTAACATGGACATTTTGTTTGGGTATTTCAACTGTGGTGGGACTGGGCCTGTTTGTGCTATACATACCATTTCAGTTAATCATGGGTAAACTATTTTCGCGCTTCAGGTAATGTTAGAAATAATAATAAACAAGGTCACGACATTAAATAAATATGTAATTGTATCTAGACAAAAAACGGCAAAATTAACTGATGCCCGATTACGGCTAATGAACGAGATTATTTCTGGTATGAGAGTGATCAAAATGTACACATGGGAGCAGTCATTTTCTGACTTAGTGACCAAAGCTAGAAAGTAAATATAAAGTTTTACATTTAAAAAATACCTTTAACATCTAAACATAATTATTTTAATAATTAATTAAATTAATAAATATTTTATTAATCTAGGTTGGAAGTGAATGACATACGCAAAGTGTGTTACTTAAAAGCGGTCAATCTGTCACTATTCCTGATCGCCACCAAGATCATATTGTTTTTCTGTTTCCTGACGTACGTACTATTAGGTCACGTTCTCAGCTCCAAGAGTGTGTTTGTTACAATGGCCCTGTTCAATATGCTCAGAATCACATTAACATGGATATTTCCCCAGGGTATAGCCCAGGGGGCTGAGCTCCTGGTCACTTGTCGTAGAATACAGGTGGTTTATTTAACTTAATTGTAAGTTGCAATAATTTATTTAATACTTTAATATTTCTAGGATTTTCTCGAGCTTGATGAAAAAGAGCCGATGCCTACAGACCCTGTAAACAGTGAAAATAAGCATAAAAAACTAAATCAATATATGAATGGTGGTAAAAATGGTTACAATAATAGCCCAGTACTCGATAACATAAATAATAGCTATACAGAGCTAATTAGTGTTGATGTAAATAATATTACCGCTAAATGGAACCAGGCATGTTTAATTAAATTCGTAAATAAACATATATGAATTTTAAATTATATTTCCTTCTTACTTGAATTAGGGCATTAAAAAGCCAACTCTAGACAATATCTCTCTAAACTTAAAACCTGGTGACTTGTTAGTGGTGATTGGTCCTGTTGGGTCGGGCAAAGTAATTTCTCTGCTGCCTAATTAACAGATTAAATCTTACATAAATTAATACTAATTAATTAAACTAGAGCTCACTGTTAATGACCCTGCTCCGGGAACTGGAGCTATTGAGTGGGTCTATTCATATGAACGGCACCGTTAGTTACGCAGCACAAGAGCCGTGGAGTTTCAACAATAGTGTCCGAAATAACATATTGTTTGGCCGCGAGTACGACGAGCGCCGGTATAAAGATGTGGTACGAGTGGCGGCACTCGAGCGGGACTTAAAGATATTCCCGTTCGGCGATCGGACACTAGTGGGCGAAAAGGGTGTGTCACTCAGTGGTGGTCAAAAAGCGAGAATAACGTTAGCAAGGTGTGACAAATTAATTTATTTTTACAATAACTATTGTCAATTAAACTATAATATACTTATAATGTATAATACCTTTACGTATAGATCTCTGTACAGAAACGCAGACATATTCCTTATGGACGACCCGTTATCGGCAGTGGACGCGGCCGTTGCCGAACATATATTTGAACAGTAAATCACCTTGATCATGATTTATGTGTCCCAAAACTTTATCACGTTTTTACTGAAGAATATGTATAATTTACAAATACTAGTAGTAAATAGAAGACAGTAGTGGAGTTATTAGACTAACCGAACATAATATATTTTTATATATACTACTTTTTCTATATACTTTTTTATATATACTTTTTCTATATACATTTTATATATACTTTTTTCTATATATATTTATATATATACTTTTCAGAACAATAGGGGGCGGGGCAATAGAGGTCAACGATACTGTTATTACTATTGTGTGTATGTAATCCTATGGTCTGATATCATCAGCTGTGGATCAGCTCTCGAGCTTCTCCCAAACTTCTATATGGTATCATAAGTTTTGTATTGATGAGACCTTTCCAATGATATATCATATGCTGATGTAAAGACTCCGGAACAATTAATTAACCACAAATAAAAGTTTTTATCAATGTAATTATATTAATGTATGGACTTTAAATGCTAGTTCATTGTAGACCTAGGGGTGGCGCTCTCGCCATACTCAGATTGTAGACTTATGTGGTCTGTGTATCGACTGCCCTTTATATACCCCGGAGGGGTAAAATTCCCCCTCAGGAATGCAGGGGAGCTCTTGTCTGCAAAAACACATATACTAGGCATAGCGTTCGGTGCATTGAAAACACTGTCTCTGTTACTGAGGTCCCCTAGGGGGTAAAATTCCCCCTCAGGAATGCAGGGGACCCCTTGTCTGCACAACCATATACACGACATAGCGTATATACTTGGCTAAGCGTTCGGTGCATTGAGTGCATATTCTCTGTTACTGAGATCCCCCAGGGGGTAAAATTCTCCCTCAGGAATGCAGGAGAGCTCTTGTCTGCACAACTATATACACGACATAGCGTATATACTTGGCTAAGCGTTTGGTCCATTGAATACATGCTGTCTGTTACTGCTTCCCCTTAGGGGTAAAATTCTCCCTCAGAAATGCAGGGGAGCTCTTGTTTGCAAAACCATATACATGGCATAGCGTATATACTTGGCTAAGCGTTTGGTCCATTGAATACATGCAGTCTGTTACTGCTTCCCCTAATGGGGTAAAATTCCCCCTCAGGAATGCAGAGGAGCTCTTGTCTGCAAAACCATATACATGGCATAGCGTATATATTTGGCTAAGCGTTCGGCCTATTGAATACATGTTGTCTGTTACTGCTTCCCCTAAGGGGTGAAATTCCCCTCAGAAATGCAGGGGAGTTCTTGTCTGCAAAACTATATACATGGCAAAGCGTTTGGACATTGAAAACATTGTTTCTGTGACCCCCTAGGGGCCAAATTCCCCCCTCTGAAATGCGTTCATAAATAGTTGTGTACTTATATTGTGTATGTAAAATAATTGTTACACAATTTGATACACACACACACACACACACACATAAATACACATGCTTTTTATAGGGACACTAGCCGTGTAAATAGAAAATAGGGGTAGAATATTCAGGCATTAATGGTAAAGTTATGGCCGATATTACTACCTCTGGATCAGCTTAAGAATAGCGTACAAAGCATTGAAACATATTGGTAGAGTTCTATGGACAAGACCTGTCCAATGATATATCATACGACAGGAAGTATAGCAGGAGTATTTATAGCGCTTAAACTTAGAAATTTATTGTAAATCTATGGCAAACATTTTGTGCTTTCGATCGGCTCACAGACTTCTCCCAAATTTCTATAGGGCATCAAAAGTTTTGTATTGACGAGATCTTTCCAATGATATATAATATGTTAATATAAAGACTCCGGAAACATTAATTAAACACATATAAAATTTATTATTATTGTAATTGTTATTGTATAAGTATGTTAAGGTAGGAGTGATACCGGCTATATCAACAGGTTTTCTCCTACCAATATCAACAGCCACAGCAGCCAATCGACGGCGATTAACTGCGCATAGACATGTGAGCAGAGTCGGTTTTAACCAATAGAATAGAAAGGAGGGGCTTACGTACGATTAAGTAGCGCTTCATATATGCACTACTATAACTGAGTACTAGCATTCAGTATTGGACTCTCACCAGTTTAAAAGGCAAGTTTTTATGCAATAGTAAAGTTTAGATTCACTATTATTTGTGGAACTTTTCTTTAATATTTGTGTTTCGCTTTTCTAGACTTATATTTCCAATAGTCTAGAACAGTGGAAGTACTGGAACTTTGGAACTTTTTAAAATAAATACTTTAATGTTGTGTTATTTTGTACAACACTTAGAATTCATTACAAATACATAAGACTTCTACTACTAACAGTAAGTGTCTATTTCTTATATTTTGTTTATGAATTTATATTTTGCTTTATTGGAAGTCTGGAATTTCCAAAATTTAAGCATTTATATTTGATTATTATTGTTGGAAGTTTTGTACTTCTCAACACAATTTATTGATTATGAACTAACAGTAAGTGTCCATTGAATGTATTTTAACTTTGAATTTATATTTGATTATTTCTGTTGGAAGTTTTGTACTTCTCAACAGATTTATTAATTATGAACTAACAGTAAGTGTCCATTGAATGTATTTTAACTTTGAATTTATATTTGATTATTTCTGTTGGAAGTTTTGTACTTCTTAACAGATTTATTGATTATAAACTAACAGTAAGTGTCCATTGAATGAATTTTAACTTTGAATGTATATTTGATTATTTCTGTTAAAAGTTATGTACTTCTCAACGCAATTTATCAATTGTTTTGGATGAAGTCTAGCACTTCTTATCAAAACTTATTTAATACTTATCTCAATACAATTTATTGATTATGTTGTTGTTTTGTCCGAAATTTGGCATTTCTCAATATAACTCATATCTAATTTCGATTATTTACTGGAAGTTTTTAACAAAATTTTTTTAAATTTTGTTTAAACACTTACAGAAAAATGTCTCAAGAATTGGAACACTTTCTTATGGAAAACTACAGCAATATGAAGACATTCTGTTATGCGATTATTCAAAAGTTTTCCACTGAATTGAAGGACAAACTAAAAGAAATAAGTATTAAAATAATTAATTATTTTTCCCAATATTTCAATATTTATTTATTATTGTAGAGAAGATCCAAGATGACGAGTTAATGTGGACAAAACAAGATGTTGTTCGCGATCTACTCAATTGGAAACCAGACTTAACAATTAAAACATCCGCTGACAAACGCGACCCTAGACCATCCGAAACAAATTCATGCGTTGGGTCTACTACCGTATCTGATGATCAGTCTGCTGCACATGAAATGTTTATCGAAAGGGGAGATGAAGAACTTGATGATACCCCTCCACCTCCATATGAAACTTCGCAACTCAAAACTGCTGAAATGCCTTCTGAACCAGTTCAGTCTTCCGCATCAATTCAAACTTCCGCATCACTTGACACTAAGGTATCAAATAAAATTTCTGCAAAACAAGAAACGCCTTCTTCAAAGACAAATAAAACATCACGTCCTAAACGTGACTCACTTCCCACACCAACGCCGCGCAAAAGTAAGGTATATAAAACTCCATCACTTGTGGACAGTGGAAGCAGTAGTGATGAAAGCGACAGTGAAGATTCGGATGGAGAAAGAAGCGAAAAGAATGAGAACATGGAGGTATGTGAAAGCGATGAAGAGATAAGCGAAGCTGAGGTTAAAAGACGAGCGACAAATGATGAAGCAGTCAATTCCATACTTAATGATTGCCAAACAGTTGCCGTATTGTCTCCACAACCGGAACTTCCATTGCTTCCTCCATTATCATCTGATTTGTCACTTCCATCAATTCCGTCTTCGTCTGCTCGACAATCACTTCCAGCATCTCAGGACCCCAGAATCACTCTTCCATTGCCAATGTTTGTACGGAAAGACATGAAAACAAAACCATGTGCCCCTATACGCAAAAATAAACGCTCTTCAATTGATATGCAACCTCAACCAATTGTAAACACAACACCGCAAATTGTAAGATAATTATATTTATTTGAATAAATGAAAAAATATTATATTTTTGAATCTAATAGGAGTACCATAAGGAGACGAGTGAAGGCATTATAGCTACGCGGGCAAGTTTTGCGTTGGAAAAAGCGGACAAAGACAAAGATCACAGACGACTTAAGGTATAAATATAACCTTTTGATATTATGATTTAACAATTTATTTTTAATTAATCGCAGATTATTGGAGAACTTAAAGCGGCACAACAAAAAGCTCAACGCGAATGGGAACAACAATTATCATTGGAAAGAACAGAAGCCGTCCAACGAAGACGTATGAAAGACAATCACAGAAAACATGTCGATCGCTTAAAAGGTACAATTGGCACAATGATGGGTAAAATTGATGTCCCGCCTGAAAAAGCTCAAGAGTTTCTTCGTATGATTGATGGGTTTAAATCAATTCAACCAAAATAATTTGTAACGCTTTATATTAATCATCCAATTATATGCATTTTACAATTTTACATTATATAATTACTATTTTTATAATCATGTATTGCATTAACCAGTTTAATTCATTTATAATAAAACTTTACAAAAAATGTATATAAGTTGTAATTATAATTGCATGCTGTTGTGGTTTTTCAATAAGCAAATAAGCTCCTCCCAAAAATTTTAATATTATTATAAGATTTGTATTGATAAAGTCGTTTCATTTATAAATCATATGTTCATATAAAAACTCCGGAATTCATTTATCAAATGATTATAAATGTTGTGTACATGTAAGCGTGAGCATACACTTAGGAGTTTCGCGCATTTAGTATGAGCATTATACTCGCATACGAGTCTGGGCATGCGTTAGTACAATAAAAGTATTTAAGAATAATATTTTGGAATAAACTTTCATTTTATCATGCTTAGGCATGGGTGTTATTTCAAAATTTGAAAATATATTATTGTCGGTGAGTTCAGTATATGTGCAACAAACATACCCTCAATATCATAAATGTGAATTTTGTTATAAAATATTTCATTTTAGTATTCTGTTTCAACATTATATTTTATGTACTCAAAGAAAAGAATGCAAACATTATTTGTTTCACCATAAATACATAGAGCTATTATTACATATATTTAAATTTGTTGAACAACCAAAAGATTCAACAAATAAAACAACAGAAAATCAACTCATAAATAAATATTGGTTTGATAAGCAAATAGCCAATGATTTGGGAATTTTTGATCAAGATAGTTTTTTTATTTGTGCAAATATATATAATGTAATATTTTATCTTAAGAAATATAAATCACTTCCGAAATATATGGTAATGAAGAAAATGTTCCCCGACATATTAAATCATTTGTTTTACGAGCTTTATCCCCAAATGTATCGCGAATCAATAACTGTAATAGGT